AATAGTGGAATTAATAATATTAAAAAACACATCCCATTAAAAGCATTTTACCCAAATCAAATTAGGGAAGGAGGGTATGTCCATAAGTTATTAAAACGTATGTCAATTTAAATTAACATTCAATTTAAGTCAACTTTTAATTTTTATAGTTTCAATCATAAATTTTAATTTAAATCATTATATGTTTAAGTATATTGTGTGTTTAATTTCTTTATGTCCAATTTCATTTTTCCTCTGATTTTCCTACCATCTGATTTCCCTACCATCAGTACCAGGATTATTAATTTTTGTTTAGTCTTTATGTATAATCTCTCTATATATAAACAGCAACTACCCAGACTTGGATGATCTTAAAAAGATAACCAGGGTTTGGCCTTTTAAGAGGGATCCTTAATGTGGGAAAATCATTACAAAACGCAAAGAAAACAGCCTTATGTTGCCAAGAAAACAAACAGGGAGATATGCTCTTGATGCCAACAATAGTGCTCCGATATTTAAATCCTCGACATTTGAAAACATAAAGCAGAGTCAGAGGCTCCTAATTAAGATTTGGATGGGAGACCATCAGGTAAAACCAGGGCTCTAAACTGAACACAAAATATCCCGGGTTTATACAAGAGATTAGCAAGAAAACTGTACGGCGCCTGACTGGAGTTGAATCGCTATTGAGGGTTTCCCGTCGAAGGGCCCTGACTCGACCTCAGCTTACCGGTCCCCGGAGTCAGACCCTATTTTCCAGCCCCTGAACCGGTTTCAGCGGCTGCGGGCTTCTCCCTCGTTCCGAGGCGGCGTCCCTCCCGCGCCGAACGCCAGAGGGCAGGCGGCGCACCGCGAAGCCAACCCAAAGCATCGGGCCGTCGCTCCGGCCCCATCGATGGGGGCGGCAGCTCTGGGCTCGGCTTCCCGGCCCTTTCTCTCGGCTCTGGATTAGTGAAACTGGCGACGTGGGACAGTCCCCCGGCCCGGCCCCTTCCCTGGGCGCCTCGAAGCGGCACTCGGTTGGGGAGCGCGACCGCCGAAGGAGAGGGCAGCCCTTCCCGCCCGAGCAGCGGAGAGGGAGCGGGGCTCGGGTTGAGGCGGAGGAGGCGCCCCGGAAGAGAGAGGCGGACCGGCCGTTGGCCCGCCAGAGGGGCGGGCAACGAGGCCGGCCGGCCGGCGGGGGGCGCGAGCTGCGCCCGTTTGGCGGCGCTGTGAGGCGGCCCTTCGGCTTCCATCCCTGCCTGGGCGGCGACCAGAGCAGCGGCGGCGGCGGCGGGGCCATGGCTTTGCTGCGGGCCCGCGCGCTGTACGACTTCAAGTCGGAGAACCCGGGCGAGATCTCGCTGCGGGAACACGAGGTGCTGAGCCTGTGCAGCGACCAGGAGATCGAGGGCTGGTTCGAGGGGGTGAACAGCCGCGGCGACCGCGGCCTCTTCCCGGCCTCCTACGTGCAGGTCATCCGAGCTCCGGTGGCCGAGCCGGCGCTCCCGCCGCCCGCGCCCGCCCCGGCCCGCTACGCGAACGTGCCGTCCGGTGGATTTGAGCCTCTGGCGGCGCCGGCGACCGCCTTCAACCCCCCGCCCGTCGCCACCACCGCCCAGCATCACCAGCTGCCTCCGCCGGCCGCTGAGCCCTTCCAACTGCCTCCGCCGGCCGCCTCGTCGGGCTTCTCTTCCTTCCCGACGGCGCGCTCCTACGGCGGCGGCTCTTCTTACCAAGCCAGCCAAGGCAGCGACGACGACTGGGACGATGACTGGGACGACAGCTCTACCGTGGCGGACGAGCCAGGCGTCCTGAGCTGCTCCTACCCGGACTACGAGAATGCGGCGATGGGAGTCGGCGGAGCCGGAGGCTCTGCCAGCAGGTATTCCCTTTCCACCCGGTCCGATCTGTCGCTGGGCTCCCGGAGCAGCCAGCCTGGCGGCCCCTTGCATCACCCGGCCGGCGGCGCCAAGAGCTCGGCCACCGTCAGCCGCAACTTGAACCGCTTCTCCACCTTCGTGAAATCCGGAGGCGAAGCTTTTGTGCTGGGTGAGGCGTCGGGTTTCGTGAAGGACGGGGACAAACTCTGCGTAGTGCTGGGCTCCTATGGGCCCGAGTGGCAGGAAAACCCTTACCCTTTCCAGTGCTCCATCGAAGACCCCACCAAGCAGACCAAATTCAAAGGCATGAAGAGCTACATTGCCTACAAGCTGGTGCCAAGCCACACAGGACAGCAGGTGAACCGGCGCTACAAGCACTTTGATTGGCTCTATGGCCGTCTTGTGGAGAAGTTCCCGGTCATCTCTGTACCCCACTTGCCAGAAAAACAAGCCACGGGGCGTTTTGAAGAGGACTTTATCTCCAAGCGCCGCAAAGGCTTAGCTTGGTGGATGGACCATATGTGCAGCCATCCTGTGTTGGCCCAGTGTGATGCCTTCCAGCATTTCCTCACCTGTCCCAGCACTGATGAGAAGGCCTGGAAGCAAGGCAAGCGCAGAGCTGAGAAGGACGAGATGGTGGGTGCTAACTTCTTCCTGACCATTAGCGTCCCTGCTGGTGGCCCTGCTGCTCTGGACTTGCAGGAGGTAGAAAGTAAAGTAGATGGCTTCAAAAGCTTCACCAAAAAGATGGATGAGAGCACCATTCAGTTGAACCAGACTGTCAATGAGTTTGCCCGCAAGCAGGTTGCTGGGTTCAAGAAGGAATACCAGAAAGTGGGACACTCCTTCAGGGGCCTCAGCCAAGCCTTTGAAATGGACCAGCAGGCTTTTTCAGTTGGCCTCAATCAGGCCATTGCCTTCACTGGGGAAGCTTATGATGCTATTGGTGAACTATTTGCCGACCAACCCAGACAAGACCTGGACCCAGTGATGGATTTATTAGCTCTGTATCAGGGACAT